TCATGAAATGCCAGTAAAGCTCCACCTCAACGGCCAGGCTTGTTCTGGGGGAGAACCTGCAGGTGCAGCTCTGGAGCTGAGAGGTGTGTGCGAACAGCCTCTCCCCTCCTGGGTGCTGCTGCTCCTGGAGCAGCAAATGCTGCAGAGGGGACCGGGTCCAAGGTGCAGCTTTGCAGTCACCCATCAGTGGATTCTCTGGAAGCCTCAATATAAATGTAACCCCCCAAAAAAGCACAAGATTTTGGTTAAACCACTTTTACTGTGGGTCTCAAGGGACCTTCCCTCCGTGCAAGGAGCCATCCAGGCTCAGAGCCAGAGTGCACCAGGTTGAGCAGCATTTTGGATAAGCCCAGCCCAACCTGAGCTGCTTTTGTGAAGGTAAAATGCTGCTTTGGTTCTCCCAAGAGGCGTTCCTGGCTCTAGGATAACCCCAAGACATGGCGTTCCTGGCTCTGGGATAACCCCAAGACATGGCACTCCCAAAGCTCCCGCCCCAGCAGGCTTGTGTTTCCAGAGGATGCTCCGGAGGGAGGGATGCTCCACAGAGACGCTGATTGCTGATGCTATTCCTGGCTAGACAAGAGCCAGAAAACGGGACCCTGGAGGGTGCTGAACCCGGGTATCGTGGATTTGCTCCTTGCTCGGTGTGGGCTGTGCCAGGCACGATGCCACAGCAGGAACCAGCCCCCATCTCTCACCACACCATCCGCCCGCCCACCACAGGGAAACACCGGCAAATCCTTGGGAGTGAAATCCTGCTCTGCCAGGCTCCCCAGGAGGTGCCAGGGAAACCAGAGGTGCAGAAGCAGGTCTGCCCGGGGCACAGCGGGATCCAACAGCCAGGGGCCCGCGCACGGAGAAACCTGGTAATCTAATAAAATCTGAGATGCTACAGGTCCTGTCCAGCCCGGCCTGCCCAGCTCTGCTGCCAGCCTCGGCCTGCAGCTCCTGCCTGTCAGCCCTTCTCTCTCCACAGCTTTGTTTCTTGCAGCCTAATGAGTCCTTAATTCAGCAGGCTTTGTCCCATAGATCTTGATTTGGCCCCGGACCGGAGGGAGGGGGCACTTTGGGAGCGCTGTCTGTGGCAGCTGCTGGGACAGGAGCCAGAATGCACAGCTCTGCCTCTGCAGGAGCAAAGCTCTCGTGTGGGAGCCGAGCTGGAGCAACGCCGCTCTTTCCCTCCTTGGAAATGTGGAAAAAAGGCATAAACCAGCCTTAACCATCCCACAGGGCATTGCTTTGCAGGGACAGGGATTTCTCCCTGCACGAAGTCCTGCAAAGCCTGAACCAACAGCTCGTGTGCTGCTGCTGCCCCACATTTCCCAAGGCACATCCGTCTCCAACATCCACATCCCCAGGCCATCACCTCCTCAAGCCCTTTTGGGGATGCTCCAACGTGTCCCCACTCAGTGCATGAAGCTCGTCATGTCCTGCAGGGACAAAGGGTACAAGTCAGGCAGGAAGAGGAGATGGAGGTGGCCGGCAGCTTCTCGACTCAGTGACTTATCCCTCTTATAATCAAAAAACACAACTATTTTCCACCTTTTATCCACATCACCCCTAACTAGCACCATGACCCAGCAGCTGGCACTCACATCTTCACTGCAAGAGGTGAAACGTATTTGAGAAGATGGATGGACCTCGGGGACCCGCCTCCCCCTCTCCATCCTGTCCGCAGGGTGCCAGAGCCCTGCCCAAAATGTCCCCAGGAGAGCCAGACCCCCCAAAATCCCACCAAATGGGAAATGCAAACAAACAATAAACCCCAGAAATGTTCCTTCACAGTTCACTGTCTCTCAGCCACTGGGATTTCTAGTGTTAGTTGTAGGAGTAACAAGTAAAACATTTCCAGAGTGTGATTTGGAAGTTGACGGTGCTGCACAGGAATAACAACGTTTGCAGAAAGTGGGATCTGCCCGGGAATGATCTCCAAGCAGAAAATAAAAAGGCCTGGGAGAGCATTACAGCAATGAGTAATCTCAGCAGTTGAATTACACACAGACCCCACCATTTCACAGGATTTCTATTTCCCAGGGAGATTCTGACCCAGCCTTCCCCAAGCTCTGGGCACAGATGGATCCAGGATTCAGATGTTCAGGATGCCGTTTCCCCTCCCAGCAGCACCTGTCTTTCCCACACCAAACCTGGGCACAGCCCTTGGGATGATTTATTAACAGGGAATGATGTATCTCCTGAAACCAACCCGCAAGACTCACCCAATTCCAAGTTTGTAACTTGGGGTCAGACCTGCTGCCACGGGATGGAACTGGCAGCTCCGGTGGGGCTTTTGTGGTTGCTGTTGTTTTAAATGAGATGGAATAAAGAGCCAAAATCCTCGGAATGGTTCGGCTGCCACAGAGCTCCCTGTGTGCTGTTTATTGAGCCACACTTCTTTGGAACAAAATTCCAGAGGGATATGTGGCTCTGCAGAGGGAAGCTGTGTGCAGGTGACCTGGAGCTGCTGTGCTTCCCTACTTTCAATTTTCCAGCTGCTGTTATGGGATGGGAAGGATGCAAATGGGAAGCAGCACTAACTCCCTGTACACAGCCCTGCTCCCACAGTCCTACACCCCAGAAATATCCTTTAAATCCTGTTTCCCCAGCTCCAGGGCTCCTGCAGCCAGAGTCCCGCTGGGAGGGCTCTGCAGGAGCCTCTCCCACTGGCCGAGCTGCCCCTGCCACTCTGTTTTCCTCCACCATCTCCTGTTTTGCTGTCATTTGCTCTCAGATGTCACCATCAAGCTGTACCTCTGCCATCCCTCAGGAGTGGGTATTATCCAGCATCTGGATGGGAATTACAAACTCAGGCTGCTTCAAAAATCCCGCCAGCCACATTTTTTCCAAGGCAACGAGTAACTGCAGCCCCTGCTGAAGTCCAGAGGACTGGAAATCAGGCCAAAACTCGCTCATCAGCATAAGGCTGGATGAGTTTGGCATTAGCCTCGTTTCACAGATGGAGAACAGCCACCGAGAGGGAAAGGTTGAGACTCGTGGGTGTGAAAGGCTGGAGTAAGGCACCTAAATACGCAGTGAACGGCCTTAAATTAAGAAGCCTGATTTGCACAAGAGACTGAAACACACGGGAGCTCCAAGGGCTCCAGTTGGAGCCTGCAAACTCGGGCACCCTCATGGAAATTTCCCCACAGGTGGCTCAGGTGAACATGCACAGGCTGGCCCTGCTGCTCATGCCTCCTGTTGCTTCCCAAGTGCCGCCTGTGGAATGCAAAGCTGGTGCTCTCAGACGCTCTCAGGATGTACCAACGCGACATGGAGCCAGTTTGGAGGTACAAGTCCTGCCACTGCCTCCAGTTCTGTATCTCCCAAGCTCGTTTCCCGCTTTCCCATCAAGGATGTTAAGACCAGGGACACTTAATGAAGACTCATCTGAGCACGGATTTGTTTCTACCTACTTTGGAGTCCATGGGAACATCTCCATGCCCAAGACCCAAAGGTAATGATTATCTTCTGATCTCTGTTCGCCTCTCTCTCTGGGTCTCTCGCAGTACTCAGCAGAGATGGAAGCTAAGCCTGAAGCTGGGGTGTCTCTGCTCTACCAGACACAGCACAGGGAGACACTGCTCCTACTGGGCCCCCGGGAGCAGGAGCAGCACGACGGACAGCGCTGAACTCCCTGTGGAAGCAGAGCAGCGGGACCAAACCACTCGGAGCAGGCTGAGTACTACATCCTTTGGAAACCGCAGGGAGAATTTGGGCAAGCAGATTGCAATTACCTGGCCTGGCACGGGCCCAGAGCGGCAGCTCTCGCTCCTGTCCAAACCCAGCTCCTCGCAAAAGCGACCCTGGAGAGGCGGCCGGGATCTCACCGCCGTGCCCTTGGTGAAAGACACACCTCGGTGTCGCCAGCGCTGTGTCCTGGTGCTGCTCCCACCCTTTCCCAAGGCATGAACGTCACACCAAGCGCTGCCCATGCTGCCACCTCACAACTCCTGTCCCAGAAGAGCAGTGGCCAAGCTCCGTCCAGTCACTGGGGGGAAGCTCTGCCACTGTCCCTGTGGGGACAATGCTCTCACACACCCTAAGACGTGGCTCCGAGAAAGGGAAGCAGGTTTAATTATCGAGACCATTCTGCTTCCCAAAGGGAATGCACACAGGTGAGTCAGGCAACTCAGAGCAGGTGGGGATTGGCGGAATCAGGGCTCCCAGAAAAGGATGGGAGCATCCAGCAGAATCACACTGGGGGCTCCTATGGAGACCCAACCACGACTCTCATTTGGGAGAGGTGGCACCGTGCGGAGCTCGGTCCCACTGGTGCTGGGGGAGGCAACCAACCTATCCACTTTTGGAATATGGAGAGTGCCCCAGGGCTGGGGATGGTCAGTGACACTGGGGGGAATCCCAAAGGGGGAACACCAAGGGGGGGAGGCACATCCCAGCATCCCCAGCCCGGCTCCCTGGGGAGAAGGGGTAGAAAAGCTGGAAAACAATTGCTGTATAAGGGGAAAGGGCCCCAGCACCACAGTTCATCTCAGGTCACCACTTATCTAAAGACAGCCAGGCAGAGCCCTGGGCTGTCCCAGGAGCAGCAGCAGGCCTGAGGCAGCAGTGAGAGGCACCATGCCTGCCTCAGCCCGGGCAATGTGTGCACACCTGTGCACACGTAAAGGGCTGTGGGTGAGGCTGGTAGGGAGCGGGGTGCCAGGATTAGAATGCTGGGAGTGGAGTGTCAGGAGTGCAGTGTCGAGAGTGAGGTGTTGGGAGTGAGGTGCCAGGAGCTGCCTGTGCGTGGACAGGTGTGATGTGTGAGTGCTCATTCAGGCCAAGCCCTGCTTTGCTTTCTTGCTCCCACCACCCCGTCCCAGCCTCCCTGAAGGCTCCAGACTGAGGGCACTGGACCACCGCTGCCGGGAGGGGCTCGGGGGGCAGAGGGAGACCCCAGCCTGCGGGCAGGAGGGCTGTGGTACCCCCACACAACCGAGCCCCCTGTGGCTCAGCTCAGCTCACCCAGGCTGCCCTGGGGACCCCGGGATGCCCCGTCCTACCTTGCAGTCTGTCAGGCAGGATCTGACCGAGTACTCTTCCGATTGCAAGTACTTCTCCAGCAAGAGGTCGAACTCCTCGTATTTTTCCTGAGCGTGTTGGTCCAGCCGCTGGTACGCCTGGACACAGCTGCTACAGGCCTCCCCGCCCAGCGCCCCGGCCGCCGCCACCACCAGGTCCACCATCAGGTTGTCCAGGCTGCAGTCCAGGCCGTCCGGGCCGGCCATCTCCCGCAGCAGGTCCCAGATCGTGTAAGTATCACAAAAGGAGAGGTTGAAGTTCCTGAAGTAAGCCTGCAGGAAGGTCCTCTTGGAGGAGGGCGAGGCGAAGAAGGGCGCGGCGGCGGCGGCGGCGGCGGCGGGGGGCGAGCGCAGGGGCGCGCCGGGGGCCCGCGGGCGCTGCGGGGCGAGCAGCCGGGCGCACGCCGAGTCCAGGTCCCCGCGGGCGGCGGGGCAGGGCCCGCCGGGGCCGCGGCTCAGGTTGCCCAGCAGGGCCTCGCAGCTGCCGCCCGCCGGCTCGGCCGCCAGCAGCGCCCGCGGCCCGCGGCCCCGCGGCCGCTCCCGCGCGCGCAGCTTGGCCCCGGCGCAGAGCCACAGATGGTCGGAGAGGAGCACGGTGAAGAAGAGGAGCGAGGCGAGCGAGAGGCGCCATTTCTGCGCCCGCTCGGGGTCGGCCACCGGCTTGTCGCTGCGGCGCGGCGCGCAGCACACGGCCCCGCCGGCGGCGCCCCCGCGGGGGGACATCCAGGCGCCGCGGATCATGCCCCGGGCGCGCGGGCGGCCGGCGGGCAGCGCCGCGCTGCCGCCGCTGTCACCTGCCCCGCGCCGCCGCCATGCCCGCGCCGCCCCCGCCGCGCCGCGCCGCCCGCCCCGGCCCCGGCCCCGGGCATGCCCCGGCCGCCCTCACTCGGCTTTCCGCTTGCCCCGGCGCGGGGCCGGGGCCGCGCCGCGCCCGCCGCCGCCGCCTCCTCCCGGCCCCATCGCCCTCAGTCTGTCGCCATCTTCGGCCGCGCCGCCAACACCTTGAGGAGCCGCGAGCGCTGCGCCTGCGCGCTGCCCCCGCTCCGCCGGCACCGGCTCGGCCCCGGGCACGGACACGGGCACGGCAATGGGAACGGGAGTGGGAGCGGGAATGGGAACGGGAACGGGAACGGGAATGGGAACGGGAATGGGAACGGGAATGGGAACGGGAACGGGAATGGGAACGGGAGTGGGAATGGGAACGGGAACGGGAATGGGAACGGGAATGGGAACGGGAATGGGAATGGACACGGGAATGGGAACGGACACGGGAATGGGAACGCACACATGGGAATGGAAACGGACACAGGAATGGGAACGGGAATGGGAATGGGAACGGGAATGGGAATGGGAACGAGAATGGGAATGGGAATGGACACGGGAATGGGAACGGACACAGGGAATGGGAACGCACACATGGGAATGGAAACGGACACAAGAATGGGAACGGGAATGGGAATGGGAATGGACACATGGGCACAGCAATGGGAACGGACATGGGAATGGGAACGGACACGGGAATGAGAACGGGAATGGGAATGGGAACAGAGACGGGAATGGGAATGAGCATGGGAATGGGAACGGACACAGACACGGGAATGGGAACGGATATGGGAACAGGAATGGACACGGGATCAGACATGCGAACAAGAATGGACACGGGAATGGGAATGGACGTGGACACGGGAATGGACCCAGGAATGGACACGGGAATGGGAACGGACACAAGAATGGACACAAAAATGGGCACGGACATGGGAATGGGAACGGACATGGAAACTGGCATGGACACGGGAATGGGCATGAGAATGGGAATGGACATGGGAACAGACATGGAAACAGACACAGAAACGGGAATGGACATGGGAACAGACATGGAAACAGACACAGAAACGGGAATGGACGGGGGACTAGACATGGATGCGGGAATGGGAACAGACATGGACACGGGAATGAACGTGGGAATGGACATGGACACGGGAATGGACATGGGCAGGAACACGGGCATGGACATGGATATGGGAACGGACATAGGTACGGCCACGGGAACGGCCATGGGCACAAACTCGGACAGGGGAACGGCCGCGGCCCCGCTCCCCGGGCACGGCCCCGCACGGGCCGGCAGGTGCCGTGGTGCTGAAGGACAGCTCCGCCCGCCGCGCCGCGGGCAGCGCTGCCCGGAGCGGGGAACGGGCAAGGGAGAGCGGGACACCCCGTCACCCTCACCATCATCGCCGTCATCCTCATCCTCACCATCCTCTTCTCACTCATCTGTATCCTCACCCCCATCCTCACCGTCATCCTCTCCCTAACCCTCACCCCCGATCCACCCTCATCCTCACCCCCAACCTCCCCCTCACTCCAACCCCAGAGCCCCGGGCTCCATGCCCAGCTGGGGCCAGTCCCGTCCCCATCCTGGTGTTGATGAGCCCCATATGGGCAGGTCCCGGCAGAGAAGGGCTCTGAGAGCTCCAGCAGCAGCCACGGGGGGGGCTAGGCTCTGTTCCCAGGGAACAAGGGACAGGAGGAGAGGGAACAGCTTCCAGCTGTGCCAGGGGAAGGCCAGGTTGGATATTGGGAAAATTTCTTCACAGAAAGGATTGTCCAGCCCTGGCACAGCTGCCCAAGGCAGGGGTGGAGTCACCACCCCTGGAGGTGTTCAAAACACACATGAATGTGGCACTTGGGGACATGGGTTAATGGTGGCCTTGACAGAGCTGGGGGAACAGTGGGACTCCATGATCCCAGAAGGCTTTTCCAACCTAACCGATTCCGTAATTGAACTCGAAGTCCTGTTGTACACAGAGCTGCAGGCAGAGCCTGCTCAGAATCTGCTTCTCCATCCATGTATCCATCCTCACCCTCAGGCACCAACCTGGCTGTGGCAACCGGTTCGAGTGTTCCTTATTCCTGGAGCTTTCCAGAAGTTCTGTCCCAAAGTGAACCAGCTCCTTCGGGCCACTCAGCTGTGCCGAGGTGCTGGAGCTGGTTGTCCAGGCTCCCTCAGGATGGCCCTGGGTGGGATCCTGCAGGCACAGGGAAAGTCACTGGAAGCTTTATCCTTCTCCTCACTGTCATCCTGACCTGTGAGGTCAGTGAGCCCCCCAGGAAGGGGGAGCCCACATAGGGGCTGTCACCCGACAAAGAGCACATTACTCCTGAAGGCCACTGTGCCTGAGCTCCACACGCTCCAACAGCTCTGCTCCAGCTGAGGCACTGAGGTGGGGAAATACCTGGTGTGGAGCCAGGAGAGGTTTTACAGGCGGAACGAACAAATGTTCAACATCACCAGGAGTGATATAAGAACTGCAGCCCAGGCTGGAGGCTGAGCTCCTCCGAACCATGGCACAGACACCTGTGGCTCCACAGGCCGCAGCTCAGGGGCCACTTCCCTCTGGCTTTTCCGCCCTGGTGTGTCCATGGCCGGGCTGGGAGGAGACACTGGAATAGCTGAGAGTGCTACTCCTGCAGGTCTGAGGTTCCCTAGTGGGTTTCCTTTCCCAGGACTGCCTGTGCCTGCCCTGTGCACACAGGATCAGACCAGGGTTCTTGGAATCACAGGACGGTTTGGATCAGAAGAGTCTCTTAAGCATCATCTGGTCCAACCCCCAGACACCTTCCACTAGACCACATTGCTCCAAGCTCCATCCAACCTGGCCTTGGACAGTTCCAGGGATGGGGCAGCCACAGCTTCTCTGGGCAACCTGCGCCAGGGCCTCACCACCTTCACAGGGAAGAATTTCTTCCCAATATCCAGTGTAAATTTCTACTCTTTTTAGCTTAAAGCTGTTCCCCCCTGTCCTGTCACTTCATGGCTCAGGGAGAGCACTGCAGCCAGGTCAGCGGTGTCCTGTCTTTTCTGGTCTAAAAAGAGCCTGTGCCCAGTTCAGCACCACCTAATGAGATGAGGCTGCACCAGCCCTGCCCTGTTTGCTGAGAGCTCTGTTTCCAGGGCACAGCACTATTTCCACCTGGGAGTTTCCCCTGCCTGGGAAAACATTATCTGCTCCTCCCACTCCCTGCTCCTGCATCACCAGCAGCTCACACATGGCCCTTGAGGAGAGAAAGGGTTTGCTCAGCCTTCCTCTGGCTTCTCTCCTTCTACTACTGCTGCTGGTATTTCAAGGGAAATATGGTTTATGGGTGTTTTCCTGCTGGTATTCCAAGGGCAATGTGGTTTATGGATTTATTTTTTTTTTATTGCAGACATGGATGGGCTGGCACTCAAGTCCTGGGTTCCTCAGGTGGCAGAGACAGCTCCTTCCTGAGGAGGTGGTGCTCAGACTTCCCTGGGGAATTTGGAGAGTTTCCATTATTACCTGTCACTAATCAGCTGGCTGCCTAATGAGGCAGACCCTTGCTGGGGATAACCAGCTACTAAGACACCCCAAATCCACCTCACCCTCCCTCTGGAAGCTGGAGGATGCTTTACCCATTGTGGGAGTGTTACTTGTGCTGAGCTGGAACGAGCAGCATCATGATCACACGCGTTTGTCATGTGAGCCCAGTCCCAGCAAGTCCTGCTGCCTCCCAGCTCCCAGCCAGAATGCAGCTGAGGTTGCTTCATGCAGAGAGAGCAGCCCCAAGAACTCCCCAGACAGAGCAGCCCTTGCTCCGGCAGCGAATAAATCAAGGACAAGCATCTAATAGCCAGAAGGTGGGGAAGGAGCGGATGTACTGGGCCTTCTTGGAATGAGGCTGGGAAAGAAGCCATGTGCTGTGGTGCCACTTCAGTGTCAGACAGCAGCAGTCCCCTGCCCGTGGGACGCCTTTGCTCCCTGCTGGCGCCAGGCTGTGAGGGAACAGCTGCCTCCAAGGGAAGGGCTCAGGGAGCCCCTCTCCAGGGGCACAGTCTCTCCCTCTGGCACTGCCTGTACCACTCTCATTCAGAAATCCCATCCCCGGGCTGGCTCCGTGCCCTCCCGACCTCAGTGACCTCGTGTGGCGCCGCTTGGCTGCGTTTGGAGGCATCTCTGGAATGATGGCAGTGGAGTCCAGCCCTGGTGCTAAATGGCCCTCCCGGGACAGCCCTTGGAGCAGGGCCTGCCAGGCTTCAGCTCCGATTGCTTCAGCTCCCAAACAATGGGTGCTGGTGGGGACTCTGAGCCAGTCCCCAGGGCATGGACTGGATTCCACAGGATCACTGAGGTTGGAAAAGACCTCCAAGGCCATGGAGTCCAACCTTTGACTAAACACCACGTTATCACCCAGCCCAGAGCACTGAGTGCCATGTCCAGTTGTCCCTTGAACACCTCCAGGGATGGGGACTACAAGCCCCTTCCAACATTATACTATCCTTTCCTTGAAGAAATTCCTCCTAATATCCAACCTGACCCTCCCCTGGTGCAGCTTGAGGCCGTTTCCTCTCCTCCTGTCCCTTGTTCCCTGGGAGCAGAGCCTGACCCCTCCTGGCTCCCTCCTCCTGTCAGAGAGATGCAGAGAGTGAGAAGGTCCCCCCTGAGCCTCCTTTTCTCCAGGCTGGGCTCCCCCAACTACTCCTGGTGCTCCAGCCCCTTCCCCAGCTCCACTCCCTTCCCTGGACACACTCCAGACCCTCAGTGTCTTTCTGTCTTGCTGGTCCAAGCCAGATGCCCTTGGCTGTTTTGGTGGCACTTCAGGAAGAGCCTGTGCCAATGGCGAGGGGGACTCAGCAGCCCCTGAGACCTTCCACACTCGTGTCATGCCAGAGCACTGTGGTGCCAGGCTGGAAAGGAGGGTCCAGCTGAGCTCCCCATCCTGCTGTTACTGCTGCATTCC